AGCTTCTGGAGTACCTGGAACGTCACGGCTTGATTAGCGGTTAGCTTACGTCACGCAATTCTGAAGAAAAATCATTCAGTCTTATCACGAAAGCGATCTATCAGCTGGGGCATGCTCCTCCTCTTCATCCCACACCGTCAACGCGGATGTTCCCCAAGGATCGGTATTGACTCCAACGTTGCTCCTCTAACATATCAAAGATCACATCTCGTCAAGAGCGGGAACTGCCGAGAAAAAGGCAGCCTATTTGTATGAGGCCACTAAGTACTTTTATCCACATGACCTCCTCACTCTGTATAAGGCCCAGATAAGACCTAGCCTCGAGTACTGCTCACATGTTTGGGGTGCTGCCGCCCCGACAACATTATCCATTCTCGATAATCAGAGGAGGGCTGTCCGACTGATCGATGGCTCTTCTCTATTGGACAATCTCGGGACCATTTCGCACCGGCGGGCCGTCGGCGATCTAGCTCTTTTCTACCGCTACGCCAACGGGCTTTACTCCTCAGAGCTCTCGTCCATGATGCCGCCGCGTGATGTGCCTTCCAGACAGACCCGCCAGAGTTCAGCCTCCCATCCTAACCGTGTCGAGCTTCGTACATCCGGAACTGGCCGATACGACCGCTCCTTTGTCCCGACAGTGTCGAGATTGTGGAACAATCTACAAGAGAAAGCTTTTCCCAATTCTACTAACCTCAGCCAGTTCAAAAATCGAAATAACAAAGTTTCTTTAAGCTCCTCATAGCAGCCGCGGTGCCCTGGCATTTAGGCTTCCGGGTGCGCGGCTGCTTCGTTGTAAAAAAAATAGTTGCAACTGTAGCGAAAACTAACAATATGTCCAGTAGGGAAAGGGTAATAGTGAATAATTAATAGTAACCATTGATTCCGCAGTTATGGAAAGGTTCTCCTGGATTGTGCGAATATTACAAAGCTTCAACCATGACAGGCGAAAGAACATTTTAGCTTCCGAAATTGTATATTACTTCAAGAGTGCGGGATCCCGGATGGGACTGATTAATCCCGGCTATAGTCGAAATCACGAAAGATGACGATTACGTCGTCATTTTAGTCTGTAGTATAGACAAACGACAGCGATTTGTGAATATATTTAATGAAGTTTCTGATATGTTAGACAGAGACAAACAGAATTTTATTGTCTAAACAAACTGTATTGCTAACTTGCATGTATGCGACAATGATAGACGATGTTTTCATGTTGCATGATCGATCATATTTGAAAGATGAATAGTTAGGTTATGTTAAAGCAGGTTAGGTTGTTTTCGAATAATACTTTTGTCTTTGGTGTTCCTGTCTTAAGGTATTCTACTCATGACTGTTTTTTTCAAAACAAAAACTCCCCACTAAAATTATTATTAAGGTATCACTCAAAACCATGCAATAAAATGAAAATAAAAATAATCAGTATCTAACATTACCTAACTTCGCAAAATGATAATATAAATTTGTTGTCATTATGTTTCTGACTCGTGATTTTATCATCGACGTACGTCCATTGATTACTTCAGTACAATTTCTGGTATGACGTAACAGTCATCTTTCGTGATTTTGACTATATCAATCTCGTGGTATTTATTGAGCTGCGGTCTCTAATCCAAACAACAACATTTCTGTATTGACGTGACACATTTTACATTCTTGACTAGAGAGTGTGAAAAGGTGAGACAGTTGAGCACAAGCTTTGCGGCTTTCCAATTTCCCTGTACTACGGCTAAGGAGCTGATTACCCTTCTTTTTTTGACACTCATGTCAGGTTCTATTCTCACTATCTTCAGTGTGTAATGGCAGACCTGCAAAGTCCGCCGAAGAAATATTTTTTTTCAAGGACAGAAAAGAAACTGTATGTGTTATTGTTTCGAAGTATAACATACATAATACACGAATGGTATTACACTTCCTGATAGTTTCTATAAACGTATCGATGCGTGGCATTAACATGGTAGGTGTTGAATCTGAAATTTGTCAAAGAATTTTTTGAAAACCTAAAAGTTTTGCTTAATGAAGAGAAAGTAATGTGATTCAAATGCATACAGGCTGATTTTGCCGAAGAAGAGAATGTATAAATAATTTAAGAGGATGTCACCTAGATACAAAGAAATTGAACCGTATGCTAATCACTGTTTACATTTGAGATAGATATTGTACGGATTTTGTGTTCTTTTTTACTTCCTAGGCGAACTGACGAGGGAGTATTGTGATGGGATGTTTTTTAATGATATATGACATGTACATCACGGAAACCATGTCACTTATAGTCTAATCATATTAGACGCAAATACGCCTGGTTTGCGAAATAATTGTAAAGTCTAATTTTATTGATGCAAGTTGTTCTAGGGGGTATTCAAAACATAGACGCATAAAATGGGTACACCAATGTTTGTGGGAAAACTTTTTATTCGACAACAAAGAATAAGAAAACGTGTTTTCTGGGATTCAATCGGAAGTGTTACTAAGAATAAACAAAACTCTTTAAATAAGATTTTTCGGGATTTATGAGACCTACAGAATGAGACCACACGTAAAAAGATCTTATCGATAACGAAAACCGAGGCAAAATGCAGGTTTTGGCACTTGCTGCCAATGTTCAAATCCATAGGCTTCATACTTCTAAATAACCACAACAAAATTGGAGTCGATTGATCAAGAATTTTTTGAGAATTTCTAATACCTGTCTTCCGGCCGTCACTTGTTTATTGAGCAATATATAGGGTTCGATCAAAGAGCATTTTACAGTAAACTACACGAATTTGCCTTGCCGAAACGAAACACAAACCATTCCGAAAGATAATTGTTATTTTAATGCGAATAACGAGGGGTTAGTAATTGAACAGATTCGCTTCGATATTCCAAAAACGGATATGTCTGTCACCCTTTGTTGCGAAGAAAACATTTTTTTCGAAATTTCTTCATACTCTTGTGTATACGTGTTTAGAGTTCAAATTTTTTCACAGTCACAGATGAGCCTTGAAGTTTATAAAAAAAATATTTCATACTGAAATACGCTGAACTGTTTATAAACGCAAAGTGAAGACAATTATGTTTAAAATTGTCCTAGACTAGTGTCAGGATGGAACTATTGTATTCGACTCAAAGACCAAGGCGGAAGTGCTAGCCAAGATCTTTGCTGCCAACTCCACCATGGACGTCCCCCCAAAGCCCAAGTGCTGTCAATTCAAAGGGTTCCCTACACTATGCAGGAGATAACATTCAGGCATAAGACCGTAAGACGAGTGCTCTTGTCGCTCGACATCAACAAAGCTTCTGGTCCGGACATGATTCCTGCCATTGCACTGAAAATGTGTGCAGCGGAGCTTGATCCAGTTCTTTCGCGTCTCTTCCAGATATCTTATGAATCCGGCACGTTCCAAGAAAACTGGAAATTTGCTCTTGTCCAACCCATCCCAAAAAAGTATCTAAGACCGACCCTTACAACTACAAGCCTTTAGCTCTGCTTTCTGTTATAAGTAAGGTGATGGAGAGGTGCATAAATCGCGAGCTTCTGGACTACCTCGAACGTCACAGCTTGATTAGCGACAGGCAGTATGGTTTCCGGCACCAACGATCCAGAGGGGACCTCCCGGCTAAATCGGATACGTGGGAGCGATGAGTGCACCTAGACCCACGCGTGCCCGCAGGGGGAGGGCCAGGGGGGGCGTGGCTCCGTTGGAATTAGGTTCGGCTTTAAGATTTGCATATCTCAGCATGACCCCTTGGGAAAATTTGCTATCCCCTGCTCTTCAAAAAGTTTTGGGGGCAGGTACAAAAAATTCAGGATTTTTCTATGGTCGCATTTCGTGTACAAAGATTTAGATCAGTTTCTCGTAGTAGTTGCTATAAGACGTATTACCAGACAAGTTTTAAAAATCTCTGCGTATCTGTTCTGGATAACTCGTTTCTTGTTATACGATCGGATGCACAGATTCCAGTTTGACACTTAGGACCGATAAAGGTCCCAAATGGCTCATTTTCTAAACCGAATTCGGCCCCATAAGACTTCAGGATTTTTTTAAGGTTATATCCGTATTTTGCGCAGCAAATTACCTTTGTTTGCAGTTTCGTTTGCTTATAACCAAGGAGAACGAAAATGGAAATTTTGCATGAAAAAGCCGTATAATTTTTCCTTGAAAAAGTTCTTGTCCTTGTGTCCATCTGTGATCTGGATCATTGTCTGAGTAAATAAGGTGCGCATATTTTCAATTTAGATCCTTTCATGATTTTTCTAGTCAGTAGTGGACCCCCGAAATATCAGAGCTAAAAAGCTGTGAATTTGCTGACCCTTCAACTGCTCTTCAAGTTTCAATGCCGATACCCCCCGAGACGAGCATCTTCCTGTTCATAAATCCAGAGCCTCATACTCTACCCAGCTCCCCAAAGAATTTTCAAATTCACCAGATGGATTCTCTTCCAAAATATTTTCTAGATCCGCCCCTGCTAGTCAGTAACGCATAATGAGTTTTGGTACTTTGGTGATACCTCGACAGCTAACGATATTTTATGTACGTCTCGATGCATAGCAGAAAATGTGGTACCTAGCTGAAAAGATCTTTCGCGTTTTCCCCAAACGAAGGGATTCCAGGCAATAAAACTAAAATAATCCGCAAAACAGGCACTCGAAAATGAATTAACTATGCCTCAAACTAACTCTTCTTCATCCATAAAAATAAAGGACAAGCGTGGACATGTCCGCAATAAAGTATCAGAAGCAGAAGTACATGTTATGATGGTCATTATTTAAATGGGTGATAGAGGGGGGTTAAAAGAAGCAAAAAGTTTCATATAACATGGGGGTCAAAACGGCATTTTTTTAGAGATAAGCGACTTTAAAGTAAAATAAAATCTGACAACGCCGCAATGCCAGACGTAAATTACGACGGAACGCAGTGTAAATAAAGATTGAGTTTGTTATTTTTGACTCTTAGGCATTATTTCGTTATTTGATAATGTACTCGTAACATACAAAGAATTAAAAAAAACGGACTTACCACTAACTGTCTCAGCGCTTCACCTGGTGTGTGAAAGTTTATTGAACCTATTAAAATAATCCACTTATAAATATAGAACACAATTTTGATACATACATTGTTTTTCTTTTTAAAGCCCACACTGCACTTTTTTTGTATTTAAAGAAGGTGTTCAAAATGTCGTCCTCCACTTTCCACACAAGCATCATTACGACCTTCACGAATAGTATGAGGATTTTCTTGGGTCCACGTGTGACTCAGTGGTGCCATTTCTAGGGAATTCTCCCTAGTTCTAGGGAGAATTTACGATGTTTTCTAGTTCTAGGGACTTTTAGGGAAATAGGGAAATTCTAGGGATTTTCTACCGTTTCAAAAAAAAAAGATTAATGAATAATTAAATTCCAATCTATATTGCAAAAACATAAACGGACCCTGTTAACATAGTTGTTAAATAAAACAGTATACAGCTTTGCTAATTACAAGGTTGGTTGCACTGTGCATCTTCTGTGTGAATCACCGATAAGTTCTCCGCCACCTGCCGCCACCGACGACTGTATTACGCATACCCAGTTCAATATTAAAGTGTGACGCGACGTTTTTGAGTGCGTTTAATGTGAATATTAGGACGGTCAAATTAAAAAAGAATCTTTGTTCAAAGTTTTTAAGTTTAGTTTTGTGATGATGGAGTCCGATACAGCAGAAAATTCTGATCAAATGTAAGTTGCATAATATATTATAAGTAATCAATAGCTGATATATTTTTAAAATCGTAGGGATCAACCCTCTACGAAAACAAAAAAAGAAACAAAATAGGAAGTGAATCATTAAATGCCGTATGTGTTACAAGATTTTCGTCTGATAATTGCTGCCAGTCATTTAAACTAAGGAGCCAAAAAAATTTGTACTCAAAAGATTAGTGGCAAGTAATGTATTATTTTAAGTTAGATAATTAAGAAAATTCCGTTTTTTAATCTAATAAAGTTTTATTTTTAAATGTAATTTTTAATATATTTTTTTTAAACCGTATTATGAATTCAATATGTAATACAGAAAAAATTGGGGGTGGCGAGTAGACAGAAAAAAGAGGGTAGACTTAGAAAATAAAAATCTAGGGAATTCTAGGGGAAAAAAAAGAATGTTAGGAATTTTTAGCAGAATTCGTCTGGCAACACTGCTGTGACTATTACGAAAATTTAATATCCCGTCTCGCGTAAAAGTACATTCGTCCGTCGCTAGAATGTTTTTAAAAAAGCCGGATTTTCAATGTTTTTGAGCAAAAACCACTGACAGAATGTTAGTCTGCGAGGATAGTCTTCTGGTAACAAGGCCTGCACTCGTTGAACATGGTAGGGATAACGCAAATTTTCCCGTAGGATTCTATAGACTATGGTATGCGATAGTCCTACGCGGCGGCCTAATTCCCGAGTGCTGGTATCTGCATTGGTTTCCACGATATTTAAAATTTGTTCCTCCTGCTCTACAGTAATATGTCTTTCACGAGTGCGAATATTAGTGGGCTGAACACTTCCTGTATCTCGAAGTCTTTGGTACACTTGCACAAATGTCCTTCTGTCTGGGTGTACCCGTTGGCGAAATCTGTCGCGATAAATTTGAGCTGCAAGATTTGAATTCTGTAAATCAAGGCGACGACGTACGCGAACAAAAACAAAACAACATACTAACCACTGTTACCGTTTGCGATCGATTGCTGGTTCTATAAGAGTGATGATGACCTACGCGCTGTTGTCATGTGTGTTTTAAATATCCAATTTAATGAAACTTACTTAGTTACTGACTACAAATTTTGTCTTAACTTAGAAAAGCTTAAGGCCATTTATTTGTTAATTACCCAATTTAAAAACGTCGTAGACTAGATTATAAAAATTAGTAAGGTTGTGGTGATTGTGATCCATATAAAGCACTTAAAGTTGTAAACTATAAAGCCATTTAGACAAAAATCTATTGACTTTTGGACCATGGGTCATATGAACTTTTTGACTTGTATTGACCCCCCTATTACCGATTTCAATAATGACTACCATGTAAAACGATGGTTGTGCATCGGAAACACCGGACTGAGAATATATGCCTATCACATCTGTATAAGGGTGTAACCTGAAGGAAAACAAGGATGGAAAGGGAAATACAACTAGAAGCCACCAACAAGAGCCCACAGGCATACTTGTGGCTTCGATCAGAAGAACTTGTGCTTACCAGGTGTCAACCAACGTCGCCACGGAGGTCAACTATAGCTACCTGCCGTGGTGCTTCAAGCCCGTGAGCAAATACAGAGAAGGACTAGTAGTCGCGGAAAATTAGATGAAAAACAAGGGACAATCGTGAAGTCAATAAGCAGAGATGTACGTCGCTCAGTTACCTATCCTTCTATTTCTGCCCCTGCTATTTGCCCCTTTGTTTTCCATCTTAGTTTCCGTAAGACTACTTGTCTTAATCCATAAAAATAAAATGTATGTATTCGTTCATTACAAAAACATCATGTCACTTGATGGCGGTTACGCGAATGGGTCATTTCAAAAGTAGTACAAGGATGTGCTTTATGCACCAAAATACCAATTTTAAATTCATTAACCACAAAATCGAGATTATGGGCGAAAAAGTACATTTTGCTATCTGATAGTAGAATAAGCATGTAGGCTCTTCTACAATCAATCACCGATTCATGATGTAGATGTAAAACGGAAGACGCCACTTTGCCGGGGCGTTCGCTTTTCCCGGGTTCCCTCAATGCATTATAATATGAAAAATTAAAAAATATGACATGGTAAGTCAATATTATTATGTGTAATTTCTAATAATAAGCAATAAAAAATATGATTAATATTATTCTTTTGCTTGTCACATACCACTGGTACGATTTCTTGCTAAAACAATTTTCCGGGCTTATTCCATCATTATTAATAAGAAACTGTGAATATTCGTCATTTTAATATTTTAGAACTCAAATACTATATTAAGCCCAAAAAAGTTCGTCAAAACTGGTTTATTTGTCTATAATGACACATTTTTTATTTTCTCCTCAACATTTGTGTGAGGCTTTTGAAATGACAGATTCAATTCTTACTCAGACGCGTTTCAGGCATGCTTATACATAATTTCGTCCACAACTAATAGGCGAGTTATCTTTTCAATGGACAACTAAATAATTAATAACAATTAAACGGAAGCGATCAGAAGAGGCAGATACCCCACTCCTGGCTATGCATCTCAACTCCACAAAAAATCACGAGGGCTAAACGTTTTCCGCTCATAAGCTACAATTATGTTATTTGTTATTATATCCTTTTCAAAGAGTACTGCTATGTTAATATTTATAGTTATCTTCTCCAAGGAATTAAATCGAATCGGACCGCTGATTTGCTAATGTAACAAAGTAGTACCGATATACGCAATGTAGATCATCATTGTGTTTGTTCGCTTCTTCAGCGAAATTGAAACAAAGCTTGCACAACTTTATATACCGTAACGATATCAGTTCTACTTACAATTCCCTTAATGAGTTCTTGCTGATTCAGTCTGCAATACTACGAAAACCAAGCGCACGACGTTTGCTGAAGTGCATTTTAAAAAGTCATAATCGTACCGCAGAGATGAAGCGACACAAGAGATACACTAGTTAAATATACTTTCACCTCGCGCGTTGCGACTCGGTACTGACAAACACAACAGTTAAAAACTTAGCGGTATTCTTCCATAGTAGGGATAGAGTACTGCCGCGAATCTGCGGATGCGGTACTACCTGTTTAAATCCATGAGCATGGATTTAGAAATTCACCTGCAATCGAATATACAAGGTGTCTCAGAAGTAAGGTAAAACATTTAAGAGTGCGATTTTGGGGTTCGTTTTAACCCTTTGCGGCCTACTGGCCATTTGGCATGACCACCTATTCATTAGTCTACTTACTTTTGACTGTTGGTAGTATTCTGACGTTACCTCGATAATTACCCAGCCAGCTCAAGCACGTCATAGTGACGTCGAAATTTTGTGATAACTGGTCAACTGACGTGATTATTCCAAATATTGACGTCGAAATGACTTCAATAAATGTCCAATTATGTACGTGTAGGTACTGTAAGACGTTTTTGAGGTTTTATGTAGGATGTTTTTGTTATATTTAGAATCAATATTTCCGATTCAAAACGGATGAAGTCAGCGGGCAGAGAAATAATTATTTCATTCCATCCCTGATTGACGTCCATCCAAAGCACCTCAAAGTTATCTGATATGACAAATTATGAAGGTGTCGCCAAATGTTACCGTATGATCTTCAGTTTCTCATTTATATTTCTAACGTTGCGATATACAGGGTCCGTCAGAAAGAACGCATGTTTTTTAAATACTCAGACACACATGCCATTTTGTTTAATGAAACAAAATTTACGTTCTAAAAACTATGTCGGCCATATGGCGCTCTTGAGCTGGAATGCAGGAATCAAGCCTCTTCAAAAATGAGCCCATTGCGTCGGCCAGCATCCGCGCAGGAATTTGGCTTACTTCTCTTCTTATTTCCTCCTTCATATCGACGAGGGTCCGAGGCTTGCTTTGGTAAACTTTTGATTTCAGGTAGCTCCATAAAAAAAATCACAGGTTGACAGGTCCGGGGAGCGAGGGGGCCATGGAATATCGCCACGACGTGAAATGAGACGTCCTGGGAATTTTTGCCGAATTAGTTCCACCGAAGTGCGAGCTGTGTGAGATGTTGCCCCGTCTTGTTGGAACCACACTGTTCTGAGACGGATACGTCGACATCGAAGTTCCGGAAAAAAAAGTTATTCAGCATGTGGGTGTAACGCTCAGAATTCACATTAGTTGTTTCTCCATCATCCTCAAAAAAATAAGGGCCAATAATCATCATTGAGCCTACTGCACACCAAACTGTAACTTTCGGAGTATGCAACTGTTGGGATTTCACTGGAGACCGATATCGACAATTTTGTTTATTGACGTATCCATGTAAATGAAAATGTGCTTGATCACTCATAAACAACGTTATGTCATTCTGATCCGATTCAACCATGAGCTGTGCAAAATTAACACGTTGTGCATAATCCCCTGGCAACAGTTGTTGACAAACTTGGGTTTTGTAAGGATGAAACACTAAATCCATTTCAAGATGCGACGTACAGAGGACGCGTGAATCCCTAGGGAACTGGCACGCCAACGGACTGAACGATTCGGGCTTTGCAGCGTGTCAACTCTCACTCTGTCTACGCTTTCGGCGGTTCTAACAGTCCGGTTTCGCCCTGGCGGTTTTTTCTTCATTACACTACCTGTTGTGTTGAATGCTTCCACTCATATCAAAATGGTGTTACGGTCTGGTACTCTCCCACGACGTGGAAAACGAAAGTGAACGCGAAACTCACGTTGCGGTCGAACGACAGGCTCGCCATTTTGAAAGTACCGACGTACAGTGAACACACGATGCTCAACGTTCCAAACCATCGTGCAAACTGAAACGGCACTTCTTCCACCATCTAACACGCCCTTCCCCACCAACACGGGACCAGCCCACTTGGTGTAGTACCCATTCTTTCTGACGGACCCTGTATAATATTTACTGACTTTTGAAAGTAAGTGAGCACAAAATGAATAAAAAAATAAACTTATTGGATACAACATTTAGATAGAACATACAAAACAAAAAAATACATATCAGATTTTTTAGCCATTCAATGTGTTATGCATTCTTGAACATGTTTTTACGTTTAATCTGGCAGCGTTGTATCGAGACAATTGACAGTAAACGACAATCGCGGATCGCTGAGATGTATGGATGTTCAAGGTATCGATACCATGTATCGATTCGTATCATGTTGGGAAGTATCGATACTCTAAAATATCTGAATAAAAGTATCGATAGATACCACAAGTATCGAAACCTTTCCATACCGAACATACGCTGCCAAAGTTGGTTTTTTTACAACCTCAAAAATAATGTTTACTTTTCCAACTGCATGACTAGACTGTCAAATATGTTCACTAATAAATATAGGTAAAAAACCCACAATTGCATAACTTACATCTCCCACCTAAGCTCGATTTTACAAATCGCTTCTTGCGGCCTGGCCACAGGACATTCGCCACAGCGAATATTCGCGCGGTGCGAACGGCGAAGCGTAGAGCGACTGAAACAAACGCATAGAAATGTACTTAAGCAACGCGCAGCGGAGAATGGAGAAGCGACCGGCGAAATGTACCGAAATAATACAACACGCATGTAGCTATGTTATATGTTGGTATATCATAAGCGCTCGCCAGTTTCCTAGAAAGAACATATCTCCCAGAATGGCAAGCATATACATATACAGTATGATACAAGCATTATACAGCTGGGGCATCATAGGGATTCACTGGTATAGTCTAGTCTTTTATGGTCTAATGTCTAAATTCTGTACCAGTCCGGAGTCCGCAACAAAATTTGGCCGAGGAGTGAACACGCGGAGTTTTGTTGATCTGTTTGGTATCAACGCGATTTTCTATGTTCTATTGATTTTTTATTTTCCACGCATAAGCCAGAAAATTAATTTTTGTTTATTTTAATTTTTATACTATAAAAGAATCGTGTCTAAAAAAATTACAGACGGAAAAATGAAAATTTACCTTATTGAGGTGTGCAATGATCCCTAATGACTCTTTCAAATATCCCTATTCCACACACTTGAACAAATAATAAAGAAGTGAAATGTTACTTATCAAGAAAACACTTTGAGATATTTCCTTGGCTGTCATATTCAGAGGAACTACAAGGGCTTTTCTGTAAATATTGCGTGTTTTTTGCAAAATTAGGAGGAGTACATAAATCAACTAAATTGGGAAAAATTGCTACCGTACCACTAAAGAAATTTTCAAATCCATCTCCCTTCTGTTTTTTTTATACTCCAACTACCACGAAAGCCTAAGGCCTAAACACCCATTGGGTACCGTGGGGCTATAAGGGGATACAGGGGAAAGGGGGAACGCCACACGGACTCTAGCGAGGGAACACGTGTGCATGCACACATGCACATATTCTGGCTCCGCCTACGAGATCCGCCTGGTGATACCTCCGCGTTCGACAGTCAGAGACCGTCTACCACCTACGGACAATCACAACATCCATAGCCAAGAGAAAAAATTTTCCTGGGACGGGACTCGAACCCGCACAGTGCACGGCGACTGATCAGGAGACCGAAGAGTCTACTACTGCGGCCACAGCTGCTGCCTGTTTTATTTTCAGACTGTGAACTGATGTAGTTTCATAGTTTATATGTTTTTGTTTTTTGAGACTGGCTAAGAGAATGTAGTTATGCAATGAATATTTTTTGTGTTTTTCTCATGATTAAGAATTTTATTTTGATTTAAATTCCGTTTTATACTTTATAGAAGTCGTAACATATTTGTTATTGTTATTTTTTTCATGAAGATGTATTTTTTGTTGTTTTGTCTGACATTATGTAGAAAAGTCTGTGATAGATTATATTATTTTGCATTTTTGTTTTAATGTATGAAGATTGCTGGAGCTTGGTTTGCTTTATTTACACTTTGATTTCGTATGACTCAAAATTAAAAAAAAAATTATATATTTTCTACAGAAATTACTGTAACAAATTCATATGTCTGCATATGGCCATGCTTTTAATGTTAAATCATTATAACACTTCAATACGAACACTGAGAATTTACTTTCCATTTTACCCCTCCCAGACTGAAATCCTGGGAGCGCCACTGTAGGGATTGTAAGTTGCAGGACCGGCTGGTGAGGACACCATAATCATTGATGTCACATTAATGTATATGTGTATCGTGTGTGTCAGCGGTCCAACTGATATCTGATTTTTGTGATTTAGCTAATTGGAGTATAGGTAGTCAAGTTCGAAGTCGAATCTGGCCGCAAATGAACGTAGGTATCTCTCAATCGTGAGAGCTTCCTATTTGAGTAAAAAAATTATAACAATTGCTGTTTCTTCTAAGAAAGTTTATTTTACGAACTTCATACAAACCTGAGCGGTTTCTTGATTGTCTTTCTAGCAACTTTCGGTTTTCTTATTTTTTAACGCGAAAGCCGTAAGTCGGAAGAAATAAAATCTAGAGATCAAGTTTGAGAATTATCAAAATAATTTTTGCTACGAGAAAAAGCAGAGGTGTACCACATTTTTTAAAAACTACCTTGTCCAAATCCTGTATGAATGTTATTAGAAGAAATAAAAAAAAATTGCGTAGAATGAAAAAATGAACATTTTTTGATTTTAGTATATTTATATGCTCCCAGCCCCAGTAATTCTATGCGCCTACTAGCCATATTTCACACATCATAGATTTCCCCGTACATTTGCCTTTAAAACTTGATAGAGAAATGTTTCCTATCCTCGTACTCCGGCCATCTAAGCTCTCTGCCCGGCGAACCGGTCCGGCTGAATAATCTATCCGTACTGCCGCGCAAAAAAACATATACACGCACCACGCACGGAATGAACGATAGATAACTCACTGTAGCGATGCCGCGCAGATGTAGAAAGGGACAACGTTGCCAGATGGACAGTAACTACCGATAGAGCAGGGAATTAATGTCTATGGACAAATTGTATGGGCCTGTTTGACTGACTTCATCCGTTTAATTTTCCTGTTGTAATTGCCCGTTACTGACTATTTTCTCGGAGGATTTAAAATGCGCTGATTTTGCACTCACTGAAGAACTGATCACGCCGTTGCGTAAGGAGTACTGAGTCAACTTACTTGACGGTATTTTTTATGGAAAAATAGATTTTCGAAAAAAGTTGTATCTTTAAAACAAAGATCGACCGGACCATGATTATATATTAGCTTTTCTTCTTCATCGAAGTTTATTATCGCCTCGTACAATGAATATACCGCGTTTGCTGTCCGACTTATAACGGATAAACAGGATATTACGAGGTTTTAATTTTCTTATTCAAATATCATTTCATTAACTCCATCTTAACGGTCTTATATTGTAGGTGAGCAGCAGAGATGCTGTGGGGAGGCGTGATTTATTGCTTTTCAATAAATGTTTAAAAAATAAAAGACCAGATCAAGTTTGTAAATTTTATTATACTCTGTAAACAGTAGTTATGAAAATACATTTCATTTTTGCACTATTGCACACCAAATGTAGAGATATTGCATAGAAAAATATTGCTTATAAAAATGTAGAAAACTAATATTAACCCGAATAAGGAAATATTTGTAAAAGTTATAAAAGTTCTCAATATATAATAAATAAGACACAAAAATTTCAATATATACAGTTCAGTGGCAAAACTACTGTAAATACAATTCAAAATTATGTAGAAGTATGTAAGGCACGGAATGGCGTGAAAAATTGGACAATGTAGACAAACATATATACATATAATATACAGGATGACCCATCCATGTGTGGACGGAATACTCATAAACAAATACATTTTGGGAAAATCTATTTATGGGATGTTATACATGACATTTCTAAAATATTGGCCATTATACAGGGTGTCCCAATTGCGACCTACATATCAAAGTTGGTATAGGTACCATCCATATCACCTATGCTTGCATCAAGGCCTTGGTCCTCAGGATTTCGCAGCTCGAATGGAGTTTAGTAGAATAATGCTAAATAAAGTGAGTGAAGACACTACTTTCCTGGATTAGTGTTCTTTTTAGCGATGAGGCAACTTTTAACAGCATAGGTGTTGTCAACAGGCATAACATGCACTATTATGCGACAGAAAACCCTTACTGGGTTAGGCAAAGAGCTCATAAAAAATTGAATCCAAACTTGCACAAATATACAGGGTGATGCATTTGACATTTTTGAGAAAAAGTACAAATCGCGTTTTTGACCACCCTGTATGAGCAAAAATGAAAATTCGAAAAAGTAACGAATAAGATAAAAGCTGAGGTGTGTAAGTTTTTTTTATACAAAATTCAGCACTCCAAATTGCAAAATGGCGGATTGCGGGGTTGCCGAAATGGCCGTTTTTTCTGGACAAAACACCTTACATCTCAGTAGCTCATTACCAAAACCCCATAGTATGTTTTATCAATCTTCTTCTTTTGAATTGGTTTATCCAAATATGCAATAAAATTTGACGCATTCCATTTAAAAAATCACAACTTTGATATGTAGGTCAAAATTGGGACACCCTGTATAATTGCCAATATTTTAGAAATGTGCCCTCATATGTCATGTATAACATGCCATAAATAGATTTTCCCAAAATGTATTTGTTTATGAGTAATATTCCGTACACACATGGATGGACCACCCTGTATATATAGGAGCAAAATTTTATATAGTCATACGGACAAGTATTAAAATACTAGACTTACTTTTTGTTTGACACAATCCATTGGCACAAAATTTCAGATTACTATTAAAGCATAAAATCAGATTACAAATAGTATGGAATTGATATAGGCACTCAGGATAAAATGTGGACGTGTGAATATCAATCATATCTAATTGGTGTTTAAAAGCTTCCTGTATAAACAATCATTTTACGGCACATATATTTATGTTGGGTAATATCAGAATTCTGCTAATCTATTTTAAAAAGTTCAATACTCACGTCCACATAGTTTTTAATTCACCAATTTCCGGCTTTCATCTTGTTTTTATCTATCAATATACACATAAAACAAACAACACAGTAGTTTTTCTACTGTCAGGCTTTCAAAAGGAACGACATAATTTCTGAAATGAGCTTAAAATCAGTTTAAACAAGGTTCACATCAGACACCAGGTCTTTGATGTTCATATAGCCAGAATCCGTGGTGAATATGTCAACCAATTCCTGGAATGAGGGTCTGGCTGCAGCTTTGTAGTCCCAACAACGCTTCATTATATCGTAAATGTGATCAGGACACGCGTCTGGTTGTTTCAGTCGCTCTCCTTGTTCAATCAATGTTATTGCCTACAGACAAATATATCCTCAATACCGAAAATACTGAATAATACCCATGAAGGCGACATGCATAGTGGGACATTTCAGACAGAGAAGATTTATCAATAATATCAATAGGGATGTCTATTAAATACCCGAAGACCTCAAAAACTTGACAACCACGCATTGTTCTGAAAAAAGGTTCTAAGAAAAGTTTTAGGGTATCAAAAAACAATTTGTTGATGATCTTAAAAAATATGAGCTAGACCTCAGAGGTCATTTGGAGGCCAACCTTGTAAATTCAAATAGCAATCACCATTTCTGACAGTAGACTCGTGTCGGGCTCAAGATTTTACATCATAAGCGGTTTTCATAGTTGAGATCAAGCGGTGATAAGTGGTTCAATCCGCATGGCCTACTGTAACGTCTGAAAAATACACCCCGGAAAGTTGCCAGCCACGTATGCTCGGAAAATTTGGCGATCTTCTCAAATATGACCTAGACAATGACATTAGAGGCCATTTGGAGGTCAGCTTTGTAAATTCAAAAAGCAGCCACGATTTTTGACAGCACATTTGTGTCGAGCTCGATATTTCTGCATCAGAATGCTTCTGGCAACCACGCATTTTTCTTCATGCTGTATGGTCAGAGTACAGTGCATGTCATAACCACATTCCTTTTTGATCCTTGAACTTTGTTTCAAAAATGCAAAGTTATCGAGTGTTTGCGTATTTGATATCCTGAAAATTTCCTTTGAACCTTTTTTTCCAAAAAAATGCATGGTTACAAAGTTTTTGGGGTGTTGTGTACTTTTCAGGTATTACAGCAGGTCATGCTGATTAAGCCACTTACGACCGCATGACCTCATGTGTAAAAATGAATTCTTATGTAGAATCTCGAGCTCGACACGAATCTGTTGTCAAAATGGCGGTTGCTATTTGAAATTAGAAAGTTGCCTCCGAATGACCTCTGAGGTCTTAATTGAGGTCACTGACAAATTGCCTATTTGATACCCTTAAACTTTTCTCTGAACCTTTTTTAGGAAAAATGCATGGTAACAGGGTGTTCTTGTACTTTTTAGATAGTACAGTAGGCTGATTGATCCTTTCATGACCTTGACCTCATGTATGAAAATGGATGGACACAATTTGGGATAAAATTTACTTGACCACCCTACCTATTCTCTTGTTTCGGTACTCTCAGACTCCCATCTGTTATCAGATTTGTGGAAAACTTTTCTGGAAAGCGCCTTGGGCCCGATGAAGTTGAGAGGACAGTATATGCATATTTTGACAGCCTACCAAATGTTGGAGAAATATTGGACCAAGCATGTTAGAGTGGAAGGGGATTATTTAAAAACAAAATTATGTTTAAACCGAAATCGCAATCCTCGCATATTTGATATGTGATGAACTGATGATATTACTGCAAAATACTGTTTTATTTTGCTCTGTTTATCAAATACGAGGAGGTGCCCTAAAATAACCGGAATAGAATTCCAGTGGGCGAAGCTTGTGTAATACACATGTCTGCCCCTGACAATCGATCAACTATCCGTAAGTAGTGGGTTGTCCTGGAGTTCGGTTCAGCGAATTTTAACAGAAGATTTGGGCTCTGAATGACAATCAAAAAGAACACCGAGTTGAAACAGCTTGATTCTAATCCAAATTTTCTGTCAAAGATGATCACTGGTGATGAGACTTGGTGCTACGGTTACGACCCAGAAACGAAGCAACAGTCAACTCACTGAAAGACGCCATCATCACCTCGTCCAAAAAAATATCGTCAAGTCAAATCAAACATCAAAACAATGCTGATTTTTTTTTATGTCAAAGGCGTAGTCCATTCCGAGTTTGTTTCCCCAGGTCACACTGTCAATCAGACCTTTTATTTGGAGGTTTTAAAACGATGGCGAAACAGTGTTCGGCCATAAAGACCCGATTTGTGGCAGTCAGGAGACTGATTGTTCCACCACGATAATGCACCTGCGCACACAGCCACTGTTCCACAGTTTCTGGCTAAAAATGGCATGGTTCCGCTGCCTCACGCACCTGACCTGACTCCGTGTGACTTTTTCTTATTTCCACGGATGAAAAGAGGCATGAAAGGACGCTTTGACGACATTGAAGAGGTCAAGAAAAAAACGAGGGAGGAGCTGACAGAAATTTCTAAAGAAGACAAAAAATGTTTCGAGCAGTGGAAGCGCCGGTGGGATAAGTGTATTAGTTGTAGTGGCCAGTATTTTGAAGGAGATAAGGTTACTTTGTGAAAAAGTTGAAAACAAATAGCTTTTAAAAAATAATTCCGTTTTTTTGGGTACCCCCTCATATATACATATATATATATATATATATATATATACAGGGAATCAAGATCACTCATGAAAATCCTGCCCTGTATCTTCACGGCGGCACATGGATTCAGAACACTTTTATAACTTTGCAATCTAGTATGCACATTTAATATAAAAAATAATTACTGATTTCATATTTTAAATTATTGGTATCATTTTGGAAATAAAGGAATACAAAACTCACATCTGACCCTTTGAGATCCCCGTAGGGCGTTTCTCCAAAAGTGTACATTTCCCATATAGTAACTCCAAAGCTCCAAACGTCACTTTTGTTAGAAAACTGCCCATAATTGTATGATTCCGGAGCATACCACTTCAATGGCCACTTACCACCTTCTTTTGCTCTGAAAACAGTATTATTAGTAATCTAAGAACTAGTTGAAAGTTTCGTGTTTTTAAAAATGGTAAGTTTATCAGATTAAGACTTACTGGTAATATTGATGGCCTTGGCCAAAAGCTCTCGAAAGGCCAAAATCACTAATTTTAGCTTGGTTTCTGCTTGCCAGCAAAATATTTCTTGCTGCCAAATCTCTGTGGACAAGTTCATTTTGTTCCAAATATTGCATACCTGTAAATAAAGCAACTGGATACACGATTATGAAAACTTTCTGTGAATTTATCCACATCCACAAAACATGCCTTAGATTCCTGTGATTATAAGGGATACCAATGCCTTACTAGAAAAAGGAATGTGTTCAAGAAGCGCACAAGGACAAAAGCCAAATATTGCTGAATAACTATTTTTTTTTTGCAAATTCCACGGCTTTGAAGTAAAGTTGTACTCACCATAAGCAATTTGAGCAGCCCAGATCTTAAACTCAAAGTTTGAGTTGATTCTATCGCTATTAGACGTAATGTACTGTAACATAGAACCTAAAGGCAACAACTCTTGTACCATTAATAATGGCGGACCTTCTGATAGTCCTATGAGCCTAACTACACAATGATGGTCTAATTTCATCATCACTTCAGCTTCTCTGAGAAATTCCGATTTGCTCGACTGCATTTGTTCTGGATGCAAGGTTTTTATTGCAACTTTGATCAGCTGTCCGTTGTTTTTCAAGTAAGTACCTAGAATTTAGAGGGTTTTCCAATAAGGACTGGCTGATCTTAAAATTGATTAATGCGGCAGCAACATCCAAAGATCGCGCCTATTGAAAATTAATAGTTTTAATCTCTGGAGGTAGACAGGCGACAAATCCCCATACATCTGTCACAAAGCTGAGCTAGTTGATAGTGATAACCTTTGCCTTTTGCACCATGTACGGGCCACCGACTCTAGTCTCATTCTCCTCACGTTGATGGCTAAAACCTATACATGACGTGTAATCAAAAATACAGTGAATAATTCACTACGAACAAATTTTTCAGCTTACGTAAATTTAAATTAATCTCCTTCAAAATACACTCATAGAGATGCAATTATTCCAACGGTGAACCCATGATCAGAATCATTTTTGGAAAGCTTCTTTCGAAAGCTGATTTAATCTCAGAAATAGTGTCAAAACACTTTCCTCTCAGCACGGTTTGTCAAAAATTCGGCAATTAGGACCGATGTGTGGCTCGATACATTGTCGTGATAGAGGAGGAAATCTTTAGGCCATTTCTGTGTCTCTTACTCTGTACAGTCTGGCAAACGTTGTAATAAGCAAAGAAATTTACAATTTTTTTCCTTAGAAAAACAACAACAATGAGCATTGCCTTAACGTTCGACTGACTGGCATGTCTTGGATTTTTGTTTCTTGTTATCATTTTGGCCATTAAGTCCATATCTGACCTTTTAATGCCAAGCAAACTGAGACGATTTTCCTTCTGCTCGTCACTTCACAGTCTAAGAGTAAATTAAGCACGTACTCATCTTATCTGCAAATTATCAGTTAAAATGCTTTGTAGGGACCCAGATAAGATGAGTATTAGGTAAATAACCAAGCAAGCTCTCGAATCGTCAATTGCATATTTAACCGAAATGTTTTTATCACTTTTTGCAAGTATTCATTGGTTTTTGAGATTGATGGACCTTTGATGTTCTTCAACCGACTCATTCCCACTTTTGAATTGCTCATACCACATACAAGCAGACATTGTTCGGTCCCGGGAGCTGATTTCCCAACCACGTCATGGTACATCTATGTTCAATAGACCTTTTTCTCATTTTATCAATCACTTGTACAATCACGTCCCCAAAAACTTGTCTATGTGTCAGCTTTCCAAAGAAGTTACAGAAAATTTCTATTAGATGAATTGTAGTGTTTACTATATATTGATCCCTTCCTTTTAACATGTTTTATATGTATATATAAGCATGGAAATGTGTATGTTAAATCTGCCTAAAATGATTTGACCTTTCTCGTTGAAATATATTTTTTATATAATTTCTTTATGTATGTTTTTTTGACGCTTGTCATTATTATTTTTAATATTGACTTGTATAATTTGGTTAAGAACTGCTCTGTTGTTATTTTATTTGTTGGGCTACTACTGTTTACTAGTCCCTTTTGCAGGGAATTGAATTTTTAATTTTTTTCTCTTTGTATTTTTTTTGCTCCGCAAATAAACGCTATTATTATTTCATGAGCTTTTTTGGCACTTTTTTGGAAATTAAAACAATTTTATCTTAACACGTCAAAATCCAGGTTTCTCTATAAATATAGCAAATACGACCTCTCTCGTTTAACTCTTGGAGCTAACAGACAAGTCGTAACTTGTGTGAATTTACCACAGATTATCTTCAGATTATCTGAATTAAACATACCGTACGTATTACTTCATGGATGTGGGTATAGCAGTTCCCGATTTAAATATTCACCGTATTTTTAGTCACACATCGTACATAGCTTTGTTTGGAGATGGTCACAACATGCATGTCCACAACAAATCCATGTGTATAGTGGGAAATGCACAAAATAAATTGATTGAAACAATTTCTTTCCGAGGGATTACCGAGGTCAGTTCCTCTTTGAAAGACTCATGTATGGCGAGATGAATAGAGTATGATTTGCTTGCCGCAATTTCGCACAGTGGCATCGATTCAAAATATCCAATTTCCAGTGACTGTCGCATACATCCGAATATACGGGGTGTTAGGGATATAATATTCGTAACTTTAAGAGGTGATTTCTTGCATTATTCTAAGCAAAAAAGTTCATTATAACCTTATAACCTATGTCCTGATCATGGGTAGTAGTACATTTGAGGATCAAAAAATTCAGTAGTTATAAAACACTCAAGTCATCATTTACAAAAGTACCGACCGCAGAACGCTAAAGTGGTCGGTACTCCAAATATCCAAATATTTTTAAAATATATAAATATTCGCCCTCCGGCGCTGGCTGTGATCCAGCAACGTTGCCAAATGGTCGATACTATCGTTAGAGCAGAGAAAAATATCTGGATCTCAGCGTTATCAAATGGATGATGACTATGTACTAATTGGCCCTGTTGGGCTGACTTGATCCATTTAATTTTTTTGTTATAAATGTTCATAGCTAATTTTTTCCTCATAGGGGCTAACTTTTCTTTATGAATTGACCCCATTTTTAATATATTAGAGCATCGTAACATAATGGAAGTATTGCAGCGCACTGGAAAAAATCTGCGACATTGGGTGGCAGTGCATCTATGAAAGGTAGTTTTATGTGGATTTTTGTCCGGCGGTGCCATTAGTCATTTATTTTGCAGGAACAATACAATGATGCAATCACTGCCAATGTCGTGCGCAACAGATCAATGATAACCAGTTTGTTTTGGCCTGATTGCCTGATGGTATTGAGGGTAGGATTACTTGTCCCAGAGGCGACTTGAATTTGCTGACAAAATAGGAAGATTCGACCTAATTAGACGTTTTCATATCGGGTTTTCGAGAGTCGTAGGTCTTTGTCAGTCAGCTGCAATCTACTAATGTACTTTAAAATAATTTAACCTAAGACATCACTCAAAACTCGGATCTATGTGGCAGTTATCAAAAATCAGATATTTTGAATCGGTGCCTCACGAGCTGGAGATGAGCAGTTGACCCATGTCAACGTCTGTACAAATTGCCATACGTGGGCATTTTAACACGTTCAGTGCCACTGCCGCCTATTGGCGACACTGTGTCTAGACTGATGTGCCTCTGTCGCCATAGGGCGACGCGTGTGATCTATTATTATATGGTGCTTCAGTTCAGGTGGCTCGCTAGTATAGTTTGTACGGGTTAATAGGCATTAGATATTTTTGAGAACTTTTACGTACGCGGTTTGACCTAAATTCTAACTGTAGTGCCAGTGTCGCCATCTGGCGACCAAAAAAATATTTGTATTCAGGTAAGAAAATATTCAATAATTACAATATATCTCTCTTTTGATATCATTTAAAGCAATTTTGAGGCAAAAAGAAATTAAAAACCCCCTTGGCCCCTGACTACATGTAACATTTTACTGGCAGCAAACGTGTTAAACAAAAAAAAATCGTTAACATCAACCCATCAGTATTGGAAAACCATTTAGGTATTAAAGACAGAATATGGGGTTTTCAAAGAATCAGTAATTTTATTTGAAACAGATCCCCATTCACAAAGAAGCTGAAAATTCCATGATATACCTTCATACACAGATGCAAATTCACCTTCGCCTATCAATGCGCCTCTTGTAAGACGTTCTAGCGGAATATACCTATCTTCCTTTTCATTGTAATTATTATTGTTCGAAGTTATGATATCACAAGTGAAAGCGATGTTTTGTGACTGACTAGGATAACATTTGGGCATGGTATTGCTGGATTTTGGCGGTTCACTTTGAACAACTTTATTTTTTCTTTTCGGCCTAGGCATCGTTGAAAACTAAAACAAATTCTTAGTTAGGTTACACATTATCTTTTACCATACTTCATTACGCCAGACGTGACAGCAAATAACAGCTGCTTATCTAGTTACATTCAAAATAACCCGTATCGATAAGCGATACACTACTATTTATTTTGTTATGGCTTTTATGTATCCAACAAATTCATCCTTTCTAACAACGAAAAGTCCCTAGGCACAAAAGGAAAACGATACAAGCCATATAACTGCTACGTTCAGGTCAGATAAGAGTAAAACAAAATAAACAGTGTTTTTGACTATGTTGGATATAAACAGTTCTGAATACGCTCCTGAGCTTCACCAACATTCATTATTATCAACAGTACAAACTTTAACGTACGGATTTCACTTCCTGATAGCTGCACCTTGATAGGCATCAAAGCGTAATGAAGCACCATGAAAAATATTATATTTGATGTACTCGTATATTTACGTTACATGTCCCTTGACTTAGAAATAAATATGAAGTGGCATACCTCTGGAACCGGGGGTTTTGGCTTTGGTAGCACAGGGTATTGTAATACTGTAGGTAGACCATCTTGCATTAAACTGTAATGTTCTACAATATGTTCTAATGAATCTAAATACGGTCCGTCATCTATATATAAAAACCCGTCCTGAAAAAAACGATGACTTCAGTCATTCTCGTGCCAGACTGATAGACAATTCTCTCATTTCCACAAACCAAAAATTTATTCAAGATTATTAAACGCTTTCTTACCTTATTTGTATTAATAATATAATGATAAAATTCTTCATCATAGATTAACGTCAGCACATTTTGCTTGTTCCTCTCGCTAAACCTAACTAAAAATGTACCATTTTTGGTACTATATTCTTTTATCATAGTTTCAGCTTCTTGCCTCCCCAATGTCCCATGGTACCATTTACTTTTCTCTGTTCTCGTCACCTTATGCTTATATTGTTCTGCAAAAAATGTGCACCCTGTATAATACCTCAAAAATGAAGCGATATTTCCGAAATCGTCTCGGGAGGAAATAGTGTTACAATAATCCAAAGAATAACTCCTTGGATGTTTGCCTAATGCTTCAGAATTAATTACAGTCTCATACATCTGCTTACCTATTATTTCTGCACATTCTATATAACCATTCATTCTTGCTAATTGACCTGGAGTTGCGTCATCTTTATTTCTGGGTCTGATTGGTGCACCCACAGAAATCAGTTCTGTAACAATTTCAATATAGCCTCTTTCTGCAGCCTCATGTAAGGGAACTCTTCCAGAGTCCGTATGCCTAGCTTGGACATTAGCACCACCTTTTTGTACTAGCAGTTTCACAGTTGATGGAAAGTTGTTTTGGCAGGCATACTATAAAATTGGAAACTATGACATCTAGTTTATTAGTGTAGTACGTGGGAGTTATAGCCATACCAGGTGTTTTAAATTCGAGATTTTAAGTCGGTTAAATGAGGGCAAAGTTGCGCATTCAACCAAGAAAATGGAACTTAGCAAGTTTCACAAGTCTATGTAAAAATACAATATGGTGTCAATGAGAAAAAATAAAATTATTGATGATTGAGGACAACAGGTGTAACGTCACAGAGAAAGTCTAATTATACCACCGGTTAGGGGAGAAAAAACAATATTCAATGTGCAATTTATTTTGAAACCTTACCTCAAATGAAGTCGGGAAACATTGAAACGATTTTATGAAAGTTACTTTTCTTAAACACTATGTATAGCGAAACTTTCTGAAGAACGTGAACGAAACTCTATACGCATACGTGAGTTGCGGCGCTAAATCCTAATATAGCTGTCAAACAATCCTGAAGCGGTTTCAGAAACGAATTTTTGAGATTTGAGATATATCATAGCCTTCTAAAAATCCTTAAGTGGGATTGAGTTTCGGGTAGAAAGCGTGTAGCCCCGAACCATCCGTCGCTCAGTGGCCTATCCATGCGAAAACCTGGCAAAACTCGAAAATGAATGAAAACTGTAATCTATCTTAAGATCAATAGCTGAAACAATAAGTTGGCCATAGAATCAGACTTTGCTTACATTACCTTTACTATGGCTGACTATTGAACTTGAAGTTTGTGATGTATCAATTTTTTGCGTCTGTCTTGGGAAATACTTTGAATTTCGGGACTACCTAAGCGACATTCCATTACCTAAATACTCAACTTTGTCCATATTTAAGCGACTTTCTATAGATATCCTAATGGTGGGGCTCGAATTTGAAACACCCGGTATATTGCTTTACAGTGTAAAATCTCCATTTTTGTTTTCCCTGGCTACAAGCGAACGACTTGTGAATATACGAGTGTGGTCTGAAAAGTTTCCGACCTAACAAAGATACATTTTTTCAGATTTTTTTGTTATTTGTCAACACAGTCTCCTTGTAACTCTACACACGTATTCCATCTCTGTAAACCCGTCCAAGTAGTACTTGACGTTTTTCTCTGCAAAATAATTGTTCACGAACGTGATTGCCTCTTCATTTGACGAAAATATCTGTCCTCCGAGCGCAATTTTTAGTTGAGGGAAAAAAGTCGCTTCCGGCTAGACCTGGTGAGTAAGGCGGATGGTCAAGCAGTTTAAACCGTAATTCGTGAATTTTCGCCATGGCAACCGAGGTGTGAGACGGTGCGTTGTCTTGGTGGAAGAGGATTTTCTTTTTCTACAAATGTGCCCGTTTTATTTGGTTAACTTTGGCGATGTTTTCGTCTATAGTTACAGTTTTTGAACATCCCGAACGTTCATCGTCTCCCAAGCTCTGACGGTCGCGTTTAAATTCAGCTGCCTAAAATTTCACTATGGTAAATGATGGTGCAGAGTCCCCTTACACAGAATCCAACTCATCTCTGATTTGCGTAAGCATATTGCCTTTCAAAAACAAATATTTAATGACAGCTCGATACTCGATTCTCTCCATTCTCACAAAAACACTCACATCAACTCACTCAAACTACTGTTACGTAACAGCTCCGCGTCCAAAATGGCTGAAAGTTTGGTGAGTAACTTTCAATAGATGAACAACGAAATTCACTAGCTTTTATTTACGAGTGCTGCCATATTCACGTTGAGGTCGGAAACTATTCAGGTCACCCTCGTAGATGCTGAATTCAAATATAGGTAGTTTAAATAACTTACATGTAAGGGTGTATATCCAGCAGAATCCCTCAAGTTAACATTTGCATCACACTCAACAAGCCTTTCCAAAATATGGTCAAACCCTTTCATACTAGCTAGATGAGCTGCTGTTCTGCCTTCCTGGTCCTTAACATCTGGCGGCTTATCAGTTTTTAAAAGAGCTGAAACAACTTCAAGGCTACCACCGAGTGTGGCTCGGTGTAGAAGATTTGTTCTACCTAAAAGTCTTGAATCGTGTGGCGGTTGCGAGCCTTTAATATATTCTGTGAGAACGAGACCTTCATATAACACATTTGGATTGGTTTGATAATATTCGATCAGCACGTCTAGGCCATGGAACTTAATACGTTCATCTGAAATCAATTTAGGTGATTTGATACGCCGACTGGGGTGGAAGTATTCCAACCGCGTAGTTATTACGTTTTTGCATGTTACATGACCTGAGCGGGAGGGTTAATACGTAAAAAACGTAGATAATGTCAAAAAAAAAACGATAAAATGTCAGCTTTCTAACTAGATAACTGCTGGTGTACAAATAGTTCATTCCATTATTGTTCGCTGTAAGCGTCACCCTAGCGTCATCTATCGAGGAATGACTCAATGACATGCCAGAGTGCTTTGTTGGTTCCACAATGCCGAGTCTGTATGGTATGAATATCTGAGAAGATTTGAAAGAAAGAAAATTAGTTAAATAGCAAGATCGCATGTGAATGATTGGGTGGTGATTATATATATTGGTCTGCATGTGTATAAAATCAGCGACATATGTGAGAAAATTATTACTGGATATGCTGCCCGTGAAGTATATGGGTTATTTGTGTTGACTTTTCTGAAAAGAGGTATGTTTAAAGCTATAATTACAATTGTCCCCAGTTTTTTGGGTTTCCAAAAACTTTGAGAGTCATTATGGTAAATCACCGCCTGTGTTGTGTGTAATTAAGTGACATGAGAGAAAAATGGGAATGACGCATTACACATAAAACATCCTAGCAGTGATTTGTATTTTGACATCGCAACATACATTTCTATAAAATTTTAATAACTGAAAATTAAAAATAATGTACCATGCAATAATCCTTTCACGTTTCACTTCATTGTAATATACTTCACCAACCAGGGCTTTTCTTTTTTGAAATTCAGCAAATTTGCATATGTAATTTCTAGGATGAAGCATACATCTCAAGATAAATGATAATTTTTTGGTGTAGTTGAAAAAAATTTTTCAGGAGGCTCAGTTTTTTTTTAATTTCCATCTCTGTTCAATTTAGGCCATATTTTTAGCTAAATTAAATACAGGTAGTGTAATTTCAAGCTGGATAGTTGATAATGCAGAGAGCTTTTTTTTTAACAAGCAAATAAATGGGTGGCGAGCTATAGAGTGGTGACCTTACTATATCTGTAGTATCATTGATTATATGCTCCTACTGCCTACGTCATTCTTATCTTGCTTATCAGGACAAGAATGTCCAGTTTTGAAATTTCCTAACTTATAGAGATATACAAGGGCATTTCAGAAAAACATGGCAATATATGTAGGGTAGAATGTATATCCAAAAATATCAAAAAGGTTCCTATAAACATAGATGAAAGTTTAATTACCACATTACAAAATTCTATGTAATTGACCAGGCAGAACATGGACATTTTTGAAATAATACTGTGGTGAGTTTAGATTGCTTTCCTGATGCACTCTACCATTTTCAGTCGCAAACATCACTAACTGCGGCATATTTTCAAAATTGAGTGGGTTGAAGTGTTTTATGTAGATTTTACCTCAAATATTCATGTAAAGTTGAATACCTTATTTTAAAATGTAATGCAGTGGCACTGAAAAAATTTTTCTTTATTTTTCCCAATTTCTATACCACTCAGGCATGAACATTTTTGTATGTATTGGTGATGATTTCAGTATGACATTTACAAGATTTCAAGTAAAAATCTTAATCTGCTCTGAAGACATTTCTTTCAATTTCTAAATTATAATTTCAATATCCTGAATTTCAGTAAGGGGGCATTTTATGTTCATTGTTTATACAGAGTTTTTGTGTTCTTTGAATTATTTCCATGTTTATTTGAAACACCCTGTATAATATGAAATACATGAATTGCCTTCAATAGAGCTCCTGAATCAGTGAATAACTCTCCTACCATTAGTAAACATATTTTTATGAAAAAAAATATAAGCTAGGTATTTATGATTCAGAACTGATTTGATTCACTTAAAAATTGAATGACTGTAACGTTTCAAGATATATACATTGTAAACAATGATCAGATTCTGAATCATACCTATGTTTGGAAAAATAATTGAATAACTAATTGACTATTTTGGTATGCTTCTTACCAATAGAGAAGAAAGCATCTTCAACATGTCTTCTTATCTGATAATGATTAATTTCCCCATTGTGAATCACAGATAACACATAATCTCCAGCTGAAGATATGCTATCACGTACAAGAAACAAACCATTCTTCTCAGGTTCTGAAATTTAGATTGGCATCATCAATACTAAAGATCATATGGTGGTTTCTTACCTTGTTTCAGGAGATCTTCAGCATCTTCTCGAGATAATTTACCGTGATACCAGCAGATATCCTCTACTTTTTTGTTCATTGCTCAATAATTCTTCACTCCAGTAACCTGTATTTTACAATTTTGTCAGCTAAGAGCCTTTCTTGTAGATGAACAATAGTATAAAGATCGCATTCTGGAAATATTGCAAGCAAATATAGTGTTATTCGTAATTGTTACGTGCTTTAACAGTCTGAACTCGAGCTCAGAATCAAATAATAGAATACGAATAATTACAAAGTGATTACAAAGTAAACACGTAAAACAAAACTCAAGTCACATTTTACAACTGTCTCTGCAACATTGTCATTAGCAGTGTTGCCACTGTTGCCAGATGAATTTTTCATAAAGCGGTAAACCTTGGTCCAAAAAAGCGGCTGAAAGCAGTATATGAAAGAAATTGCTAGTCGCACAATAAATTAATGCATTTTTTTTGTTAAGCTGTAATAATTATGCCAGAACTCTACATAAAACTTGATTTATTATATGTTCTTAATAAGAACTAACAAGTAGAACCCAAAAAATAGGCATTCTTGATTTTGACAAAAAAAACTAAACTAAGTAAAGAGAAATACGCATTGCGAATATTGACTAGCTAATTTTAATAAATATCTTTGGTCATTAACCTCCTCAATTCATTGTTTCCCTTAAATTCGAAACAACTACTTGTAAATTAGTCTCTGACTGTGTGTAATATTGCTATAATTGTTTCTGTACTTAAGCGTTTCCTTTGGATAGTTTTCAGCATATTTATTGCTGAATACACCCTTTCAACGTTGGCACTTGAATGAGGAAGAATCAATATGTTAAAATTAAATTCAGTTAAATTAGCGAACATAGGCCTATTATCTGAGTATTTAACATCTGCGATTTTGGAACAAAATGCAAAAATGTCTTCAGTATCTGGATATTTTGAATAATTTCTTAAGAGACGCCATTCGTTATCTATTTGCTGCAATTCATTTTTATTTATTAAATTAGGCCATTTTGCTGCAATATTGGATGCTTATTTTTGATTTTTCCCGTACAGATTGTGGATTTAGAAATGCTGGCTGCTGAAAGGAAATCGAAGCAAAATTTGAGTTACGTCTTCTATATGAAATGCCAAACAATCAGTTTTTAACGAATTTAATTATGGCCCTTATAAAGAACTCAAACTCACTGCGACACCAAAATACATTTGTTCCAAAGAAGCCCAATATTAAAAAATCCTTATGGAAATTCCGGAATACACGTTCCACCAATGCACACCAACAATAAATAAATCACACATTTTCCGTCATCTTCAGGCAACAGATGACGGAAAAATAACCATCCTGGTACTCCTGGACTACTCTAAATTCTTCGACATAATCAACCATCATACAATATCTATCCTGCATTCTGTTGCAGTAAGTCAATGTTATTATCAAATTATCTAAACAAACGCAGGCAGAAGGTGGTGATGAATGGGAATGTGTCGGATGCTCTACATGTAGTTGCTGGGGTTCCGCAGGGATCAATGTTGGGTCCTTTACTTTATATAGTTTACACTTCACAATTTTCAAAAGCTACCAACTACTCAAGTTGCAGTTATATGCGGAAGATATTCAGCTTCTCTATTCATTTCGCCCAGATGAAGTAGATGAAGGTTGCCGTAGAATATGCGCTGACCTCGAAAGTATCTCCGATATCTCACAGCAGCATTCCTTTAAACCCTGTCAAGTCAAATTTTATTATTTTTGGTCCCAAAAAAGTTAGAAATCTTATAAAAGAAGAAATGAAGATTCATATTAATGGTGTTGCAATAAATAAGCAAACCGAAGTAAAAAAAATAGGAGTATTACTTGATGAAAACTCGCGTTTAAAGAATCATAAAACTAATTGTATAAGGAGCAACCTAAAAAGCATATATGGCTACATAGATATGTTAAATATCAAGACCAAAATTTTATTGACAGATGCTCTTGTACTATCACATTTTAATTTCAGTGACATTCTTTATAACAAATGTATAGATAATAATGATGTAAAGAGAATACGAAAAGTTCAAAACTCGTGCTTACGACTCAGTCACGGAAATGTATTTCACATAAGTTACTTGAAACAAACTGGTTAAATATGAAAGATAGGCGAGAGCTGCCTAGCACATGTTGTTATCATAAGGTTGTAATCATGAAAACTCCTTCAAATTTATATATACTAAGTGACATATAAATCCGAACAACCAGTTTAAATGGTTTTATTTTAGTAAAATTTTGTATAAGTACTTAATGAAGCATAATAAGTAAATGATAAAAATTTCTAAATGATTGCACTGCTTTAAAGCCCTTTGACCTTTAATAATGTGTGGATGCACCCTGATGTGCTACGCATTCTCCAACGCCCCTAGGCATGCTTCTGATCAGGTGGTCAATGTCCTCCTATAGTATCTCATTCCAAGCAACCACCAACTCCTCTCGAAGTGCTTCTAGAGTCTGAGGAGGACGTTGCAAATTGAGCAATCTCCTACCCATCATATCCCACACGTGCTCAATTGGGGATAAGTCGGGAGATCTTGGTGGCCATGGTAACAATGTGACATCATTATGTTGAAAGAAGTCTATTGTGACTCTTGCAACATGTGGTCGGGCATTATCTTGTTGGAAAGTTGGATCTGCCAGGGTGTCAAGATAGGGTAAAAGATGGGGTTCTAGAACTTCGTGAATATAACGCTGCGCGTTCATGTTACCTCTGATGAAGATTAAAGGTGACCTGGAACCATAAGCTATAGCACCCCAAACCATAACTCCAACAGTGTGATGAACATGTCTTTCAACAAAAAACTGTGGATTCCTCCTTTCACCACGTCGCCTTCTAACCCTGGCACGACCATCGTGCATGCCTAAACAAAATCGAGACTCGTCACTAAAGACAATACTGTTCCATTCCTGATCCCAGAGTGACCGTTGTCTGCACCACTCAAGGCGATTACGTCGGTGTTCTCGAGTTAAAGGGAGGACCCAGTGTGGCCGGTATGAAAACAAGCCAAAACTTCTCATTCGTCGGTAAACACTTCGCATGCCAATAGGTCTTCCGTGTTCTGCAAACCATTCATTTGCAATGGACCTGGTAGTGGAGAAACGGTCCCTTAAGGCCAATAATCTTAGGCGGCGATCTTCACGGTCTGTTGTTCTACGGCGGCGTCCAGTGCCCCTTGCTCTTTGCGTACGGCCTTCTCGAAGCCATGCCTGACAACACCTAACCACAGTGTCTACACTTCTTTGCACTCTAACTGCAATTGCCCGAAAAGAAAGTCCAGCTTCCCGAAGTCCCACTATACGGCCCTATCAAACTCACTAAATTGACGAAATCGTACGGGTCTCCGTACTCTAGGCATCGTAACCGATCGTAAAGGATGTCAAGAACCAAAATCCGTCAACGTTGATTCTTTACTACGGCTGAAATATTCATTTTTAGAGCGTTAGTGAATTAAAAAAAAGCAGTATAAAAACCGGAATGTCCAACTGATAAGGCTGAAAATTTTTTCACTTGTTATTTACAGTAAGATAAATACATTCACCAACTTTTATTAAAATAAAACCATTTAAACTGGGTGTTCGGATTTATATGTCACTTAAGTATAGCAAAATTACCTTTCGCCAAGATGTACACAAAGAAAATATAGTTTAAAACTACAATCACACCACCAGGTCATCGTACTGCTCTCTTTGAAATATCGTTTTCCCATAATATCTCCAGAATAAATAATGCTGTCCCTCAGTACTTAAAATCATCCAATTCTCTAGATTCTTTGACAAAATACTACTCCATGTTTCTGAGATCTGGCTATAGTAATGTAAATATCTATCACCTATTGTATTTTTTCTTTTTTCCTGTCTATATGAATTTTGTCAATATTTCTTTATTTCTATCAAGTGCGTTATGTAGGGTTAAGTGGAAGACCTATACCTATACCCCCTAGGAATGAAAGCTGAACTTCGCCTTTTTCGGGGAGCAATATTATATCCTTGTACCTTGCTATCAACGAATAAAGATGATGATGATTATTATTATTATTAAATATTTCCGTAAATACCCTCTCTCGGGGTCGGGGAATTTCCTGACCAGGAAACCTGGCCATTATTAGTGGTTACCGCGAGATGGCGGTGGCACATTCAGTATGAGAATGATAAAGCGGTATATTACAGAACTAAAACTTGATGTCGGTAAAGCGGTAGAAAAACCTCTTTAGCAGTAGATCTGGCAACACTGGTCATTCGTTTGACATCACAAAATTGACAGTCCTTCACAGAACAATAAAGCTACAGAAAGTGATACTCTTACTAGCTTTGCGAGCGTGGTTGCCTAAAGCTGAGAAAATCTAAATTTTTAGCGCATCTCTGTGACACGGAGAGTCACTAGAAGTGTTGCCGTTCAAGGGGTAAAATAAATCCCTTCGACGGATTCGAACATGAGACCTTATACTATAACTACTGATCACAGTAACACTTTTCACCTATTTTTTGAGTGTAGCAACTTTTCTGCATATGAGAAAAGTGACAAAAACTACATTTTTTCAAGCTCGAGGGGTCCGAAGGTGAGACCTATGTCGCCATATAACTACTAATCGAAGAAACACTTTTTACCCATTTTATCGTGTAGCAAGTTTTCTGGCTAGGGGAAAGTGGGTCCGAAGAAAATGAGGCCTATGCGGTCTTGTTGCTACTAAAGAAATGAATACGTCTCATCCATAATTAGAAATTAGACTGTGGCACCTTTTCTGGCTAGATGGAATATGCAAAAACTTCATTTTCTCACGTTCAAGGGGTGAAATCAATTTGTTCGTCGGGTCCGAAGATGAGACCTATGTGGTCTTATAAGTACTAGTCAAAGAAAAACTTTTCACCCATTTTTAGACTGTAGTAACTCTTCTGACTAGGCAAAATGTGATTTTAAATATTATTTGCCCTACGGGTGAAACCACCATATTTTGCAGTATGTTGCTAATATGTCAGAAATACAAAGGAGTTATCAAAAGGTCCGTATTTCGTACAGAAAAAAATGGCTGCTAACTTCACACCGGTTTTGGAGATTAGGTGTCCGTCAGAGCCCGATGTGGCAGCAGAAACTCACCCAGGGCGTAAAATGTGTAGGGATGGCAATTGGTTAGAAAACATCGATGTTTGGACATCGACAAACATCGCCACCGTAACACCAATGGAGCTCGATACATCGGAAGAACTCTTCTTTTTAACGTTTTCTGGTTTTAATTCATCAACGAATTTATCGATTGCTATCGGTTTTAGCGGAATGGTCATTTTATCCGATGGTGGAATTCCCACCACGTTTTTTTTC